ATCCCAAGGAGTTACTACTTGATCGTGAGACGAGGCACCTGTAGGAGCAGGCTTAATATCTGGCGCATTAGAAGACGAGGAAACAGGTCCTGTGATTGTTGTAGGGTGTGTAGCAGGGCTAAAAGGAGATTTCCATGATAATTTGGACCCATAAAAACGATTAATGGTGACATACTCTGCTAACGATGTTTCATTCAATGTTTTGCCTAAATCGTAAACTGAAGGAGGTGCGGTGGGGTCTGAGCTCATCTCTTCCGGAAGTATACTTGCAGGGTTGGTGATGTTCATAGATACAAGTTACTGACTAGAGTTGAGATGAATCGATAAAGTGACTCCGAATTTGCTCTGATCGAGAATTTTGATAAGATAACCGGTGGGCGCTAATAACAACAATGTTCTTTGCTCTTCTTTCTTCTGGGTCAAATGCTCATGGACAACTAGCAAATGGAACTCTAAACGACTCACATGAATTTAAACCCTGTATATTTCATTATGGATCATACCAAAGCACCTCCATTCCCGAGAAAATACTACAGATAGCAAACGGGGCGAATCACACCTTATTGTTGAGCGAGGAAACAACCGCACTCATGAGAAATCATCTTTGGGCATGTGGCGATGGTGCTTTTGGACAGAGAGGAAACTGCGAGATGAATAGCCACGACCAAGTGGTGTTTAGACGAGTGGACTTGAACCTTACAGAGAAAGGGTTAGTTGGCTATCAACCACGATTAATATGTTCGGCTTGGGAGACATCTTATGTTGTATTGTCTTGCGACGAGAAGGGATCAGACGTACTCATTTCTATGGGAAGTAATGATTTCGGAGATCTGGGCGTCGGACAGACTGTGCGTGCTGAACTTTACCATACTGTCGCATTTGATCACCTTCGAGTCGATGGACTGGCTTTGGATTTAGTAAAAGTCATATCGATGACCGCAGGTCAACATCATATCATCGCACATGTAAACGTTCGGCTCCATGACCAGTCGCATCGAAATCTTCTGGTTGGCTGGGGCGCAGCGAGGCATGGCCAGTTGGGCGGCGATACGTCGATGCTGAACAAGAAAACTCCCTACTTTTGTATACCCAAGATCATAGAGACGTTTTACTCTGATGATCCAGTTATCGCAGTCGCGCTAGGGAGTCAACATAGCATATTCCGACATGAATCCGGGCGCCTTTCATGCTTGGGATCCAACAAAAAGGCGCAAACAACTGGACTTGATATGTTTCGTCAAGTTTCGGTCGTAGGATGCACTTGGAACGGGTCATATTTCCTTGATTCCGGAACGCTATATGCGACGGGAAGTCATTCTAAAGGCCAGCTTGGCCGTTCGCTGCTTCCAGATTCTCCTTCATCCTCCATCCAACCCCATCCTGTCGAACTCCCATTCAACACGAAACCGTCTCCAGACTCAAATGTCTTTGGGATCGCATGTGGCAGCGAACATGTCATTGCTCTCCGAGCCGACTGTTCTCCGCCAGAAGTATGGGGGTGGGGATGGAACGAACATGGGAACATGGGGTTGGGATCTACGATGGACATTTTGATGCCGTCGAAGTTGTGGCCTTTAGAAACGAGCATGAGAATCGGCCTTCCGGTAGGAATATGGGCGGGTTGTGGCACGAGTTGGATTGCATTGGAAGAGCAAAGACGATAATATCCATGCGTATTAATGCCAAAAACTAGTAATGTACAACAAAGAGCTTTCTTGGGCATTTCCTAATCTACATACATCGTCCTGTCAATCCTCAGTCGGAAGGTCGAGATCTTTATGGATCTGCCTGATAGTCGTTTCTTTCAAACTGGCGAGCTAAAATGACGCGTCTGTAGGTTGTACAAAAATGAATGATGGAAAAAACATACACGTCCTATGAGAATCTGGAAGGCACATAACAATCATTGAGTGGCTTGACGCGTAAAATGTTCATTGACACGTACCTGTGCAGCGTCCTTTGCCTCATTATATCGATGAAGCATCTTTATATGCTTGTTAACTATCTTTTCCGCGTCTTCACCAGGTCTTATGGTATCATGTTCATCGATGAAAAAGAAATCACAGCTGCGCTTGCGCGTACCCGAGTTCCTGTTCAAGCCGAGCGACTTGTTCCTCAAGTTCTGTGATCCGAGCTTGTTGTTTCTAAATAATAATAAAAGATACAGAAAAGGTTTAAATGATGCAGATGTCAAATACCTTTTGTGAGACGCGTGCGTGCATGATGGTTCAGTTCAAAAGAAAGCGCGATTTATGTATGACAGTTTTCTGAGACGACGTACTAACGCGCCTAAGCCAAGGAAAATTCCGCTTATGCAGGTGAACAATCATCAGTACCAGTTGTAACGCATATTATTGATACATGGATCCAATGATTATGATACAAACACATATGGCGTATCTCATCAACAATCTTCCCTTTAAGATCATGAAGCCTGACTACCATCTCCTATTACCCAGCCTAAAGTTCGAATATAGGCGAAGATGGCTCGAAAGAAAGATTAAGAGATGCGACAAAGTGGCACTGGCACAGACAAAGAAAGCTGTGGAGAAAGGTCACAATGAACAGCCTTCGGGAACGTTCCATCAGGTTCCATATACATTATCCGGGCGCTTCGGAACTTGATTAATTGATGGAGCTGCGCAGCGCCTGGCATGTGGGGGAGTGTGGACTCGAAGGTGGCCTTAAGTTGACCACAAAGAGAAGAAGAATGTCTGAGCTTGGCCGCCCACAAATAGACGGAGCCAGGTAAGTTCGAGGTGAAAAAAATCTTGAAGTAGAGCAACTGTAAGGTTGTCATCGTAAGCGTCGTAAGCGTCATAGTCGCTGTTACTGTCAAGCGCGCTCGCTCGCTCTTCAGCGTCGTTCTCACCTCCGAGACGACAACACTGGTGTGGGGATGATGGGAAGAAGATAAGAAAGAGAAACACGTGGAAGAAATGACTCGAATGATAAAAGAGCGGAGTTTGAAAAGCTTACGTGATCGTCTGGTATATAAGGACGAAGGAAAAACCGGTTTCTTCCTTTTTCCCCCGTTTCGCACGCTTGCCATATTAAAATTTTCGTCATGTCTTTTGCCTTGCCCGCTCGTCAGGTTACATTCGGTCGTTCTAATGTGTCGGCACAGCAACAGCAGCTGTACCAACAACAACAAATTCAACAGCAGGTGCAGCAACAGCAAAAACAGCAGCAGCAGCAGCAGCAGGCACAAGGTCTCGCGCTTCCTGGTGGCGCTTATATTCCGAAGCCCACAAATGGACTGGCTTTACCTGGTCCCTCTCCACTCGCGGCTTCTTATCCACAGACTAGTCCTGTTTTGTCTCAGTCTCAGACACCACCATCAACTGCTGGCTCCCCAACCAACGCGGTGGCTGGTCCATCGACTCCAACTGCCGTACCCGCAACTCCTGCGCCTTTGACCCTCGAACAACAGCACATCACTGCTGTGGAAGGCATTGTTCCGACTCTTCAAAACATCGTTGCTACAGTCAATCTCGACTGTCGACTAGACCTCAAAACCATTGCTCTACACGCACGTAATGCAGAATACAACCCTAAGGTTGGTAACGTTCTTTAGATCGTGTGTACATTTCGAACTGTTTCGATTTGTTCCCACGTTTTTAGCGTTTCGCCGCGGTTATTATGCGTATTCGTGACCCGAAGACCACCGCACTCATCTTCGCTTCCGGAAAGATGGTCGTCACTGGTGCAAAGTCGGAAGATGATTCGAGACTTGCGTCGCGGAAGTATGCGAGGATCGTGCAGAAGCTTGGGTTCGATGCAAAGTTTTCTGAGTTCAAGATTCAGAACATCGTTGGTAGTTGTGACGTCAAGTTCCCCATTCGTTTGGAGGGACTCGCATACAGTCACGGACAGTTTAGTAGTTATGAACCGGAGGTGCGTGTTGCTTTTACTATCGCTATCTGTCGCTGAGTTTGGTTGATTAGCTTTTCCCTGGTCTCATCTACCGTATGATCAAACCAAAAGTCGTGCTGCTCATTTTCGTTTCTGGAAAGATTGTGTTGACTGGCGCCAAGGTAATATCTTCCTTTCCTTCGTTGATTCATCCTCCGTGATATGTGTGGCTACTGTTCGCTTTTGCGTTGTGTCATTGCGTCATTTGGCGCGTCGCTTTTTGGGAGATGCCGGTGGAATGTATGAAACACATCCGCTGACACCTTTTGCTTCTCTGTAACCAATAGGTCAGAGAAGAGATTTACACTGCGTTCAACACCATATACACTGTGTTGTGCGAATTCCGGAAACCATAGAAGCCGGTCGGTGGCTTGGGCTCATGGACCTTTTTGCATCTCGATCATCCCTTGGCCGCTCGTCGTTGACCAATATCATTATACTCTACATCTTTCCCGGTTGACGACGTAGTTGTTGGCATTTTACAGGGCACACATGATCATATTAAAACATTCTAGGTATATCCATATGAATGACGAAGGGGCTGGTGGCTCGTCTTTTTCGATCGCCCTTCTCTTCTGTGCTTTTTGTTCGCTCATCATTACATTTTACTGCCTCGCACGAAACGACTTACTGTATCATTTGGCTGTTTTTCTCACTTTTGGGCATTGTCTTTTACTCCATCATGTAACAAGTCTCGTATCAACGCAATTACCATTACTCCCCCCACCTTCCAACAACAAGCATTATAAACATACTTACAACGCACTATGCATATTTTCGTATACCATACGTACCTACATTTTTTTTTTTTGTTTGGTACTGCGGTACCACGACGTGCAATAAATCAAGAAATTAAGACGCGCATATACAGTGATCTTGGAGTCCTATGACCAAAACATTGTAACCTGCTTGCGACTTTCGTCTCAGAGCTAGTGGCTCTTTTTTAAATATCTAGGATTGTTCAAAAATGTCTTCCGATGATTTCTAGTTCTTCAGAATATGTATTAGAGAGAAGTGGTAGTTATCTGAGCTCCAAAAAGTGCATCGGCCATCCAAATCAAAAGTTCACCCTAAACTTCCAACCACGACGCCAGCAGGATTCGAACCTGCGCCCTCAAAGAGGAACAGATTGAAGCAAGAAGTTCTAATCTGTCGCCGTAACCACTTGGCTATAGCGCCTTAAATATGAAGGGAATGGTATTAATTGAGTCAGACCTGCTCTCATCATCTTCAAATATGCTCAAAGAGCAACAACAAACACTGGGAAGATACAAAAATCTGCTCGGCAGATCCTAATAAGAATAATCAGTGGTTTTCAGTTCACCTGAAATGGTTACTGAAAGTTTGTGATAAACTATAAAAGGAATATCTTATCTTATCGGAAAATTTCAGTACACCTTTCTGCCGAGCAGATTTTTGTATCATTACGGTGTGAAACCACACTCTCCATGATAATCTCGTTTCCAGATGTATAGGGAACGGCCCGATAATCATAGACGTAAACAAAAAACCAATAAGAAACAAACAACTGAACGTTCCCTATAACTTCTTTCTGGAAAGAGACATTAGAGTCACGCCGGAGTTACCGGGCCCATCGGATTTGATTTCATCAACGTCGCCTGGTCATGACGGCAGCGTCTCGTATTGCGCGTGATTCGCCGCACCCGCCGTTATCTTTTCTTTTTCCCCACGGCTTTCTTTGCTCCCTCCACTAATCTTTTTATGCCCTTTTTGGTAGCTTACCCCGCTCGATCGTCGCCATAGCCGATGGGATCCTCACGGCGCTTACATCGGCACTGTCGGCTGCCAGCCCCCGCTCTGTCTCTGCTGTCTCTGCCGCCTCTCTTGCGCTCAACGCGTTTCTCGCTGCTTTAATCTTTTCTCTCGCTGTTCTCGGATTCATTTACCGCCGTTCACTGGTTGTTTACTTTGGCCGCCGCCTTTCGTGGTCTGCCATGATCCCTCCGGACTCAAAGCGTGAGGAATTTACATTCCCGAACAAAGATGGCACTACGTTCAATGCCAAAGTGTAAGTTTTCTCTCCAGTTTTGTCTTTCCTTTCTGAACATTTGCTCATGATTGGTTTCTCCCCTTGCCCTCAGTATGGATATGAAGGTCTGCAAGCTGAAAGAGCTTTGCCGCTTGCTTGGCCTGTAAAGTCACATGACTCTGGAAAGACAACCATGCGCTCCAACTGGACCAAAAGGCCACAATATCAGGTCTGACCTGATATGCTTCCCAGACTATATAAATGGTTCACTTCTTGACAGTACATCCCCCTTCAGTGCATCGAGCCCTCGAGATGCTTGACATGCAGCTACACACCCGTCAGTCAATTAAATGTACTCAGTTATCATTTAATCCGCCCAGCCATATGATATGCAACCCCAAAGCCAACCATCAAGCCCTCATTGGTACCCATACTACTGGGTTGATGACATAAACTATCGCAATCGAGAGTTAGTTGCCCTATAAATTGACTTTGCCGATCATCGGCTCAGGGTTGACGGTGATCAACTCCAGAATTTCTCGGAGACCTTCCGAATAGCATAACCATATCCTAAAATAAGTACTTCGAATTGTGATGAGTTCATTGTTCACCTAGACTCAAGATTGAGGCCTGGCAACCTTCCTCTGGGAGACGAGACAGTTGGAAATCAACTGGTCTATTTATGCACATGACTTTGTGCCAGGATTTCAAGTTGAGGATCTTTTTATTTGAGGCCTTCTGTCTGGTTTTATGGTCCTGGTAAAAACCTCAAATCCCAAGTGTTGGATCCATTGAGAGAGTGGATGAACTATGTGCAATTCAATTCACTCCTAAAGCCTGCATACTTCGTTTAAGTTACCAGTAACTCTACTACATTATGACCGTTTGAAATCCAGTCCCTGAGAGTGTGAGGGGGTAATGCTCAGCTCTAGGCCCAAATTTTTGTGTTACACCATAGTTTACGCATTGTAGGCACTGAAATTGCATTAAGCATAAAAAATCAGGTTTGATGTGTTATGACCTGATTTTTTGCAGTTCAGCCCGCTGCCATGCTGCATTATGTGTTACTATGGATCTGGAATTTTACAAGTTCGGAGAGGGGCTGCAATACAGAGTATCCATCCAACAAGCAGATTGCCACAAGTCCTAACTAGGTACCTGTACCTAGTTAATGGTGCACAAGACTTCAAGCCCCAGGGTATTGTCAGTGCATCAAAATGTTTTCTGTAAAGCATTACCTATTCAAAGTAATTGCATGAGGCCAAAGCGAGTCATATCCTCAGCCGAATCAGCGTATCAGAAATAGCAAGCCAATCAGCGATGACTGATGTCAGAGTACACAAATGGCAGGCCGCAGTTGGAGCACTAGCCCAAACGGAATAGTATTTAAATGATAATAGGTACATAGAACAATCGAAGTATCTTCGAGTCTTTATGCCCTATTTACAGCTTCATTTACAGTTTACAAGCTATACTTACTGCAGATAATTATTCTTGTCACTTACACTGTTCCAGACTCCAGTTACGGGTCGCACTCACACTCTCGTCGCTATTCGTCACACTGCTTGCGCCTCGCCGGTTCCTCTGGCCCCTTTCAATTATTTTACACTTCCAAATACTACACCGCTCCTCACTCCCCTTACACTTCACACTCTCCTCACACCAGGACCCTCCTTTCTCGTCGTTTCACTAAACACTCTTACAGGTGACAGTGCAATGCTTTTTGGATGCTTTGGTAATAAGTACTACAATATTTTGACTGGCTATCAACACTTAATATTTAGCATGGTTTATGATCAAACTTCATCCATCCACAGCCTGGATGGGGGCCTCATTGATGCTTCTTTTACACTAATTTGGACCAAGTTGATCGTATGGGTGTCAAAAGTAACATTAACAAAAAATTCCCAACACTGACAGTGCATGCAACTATACATACCCAGTCTCCTTCTGTGCTACTTATGCTTGTGTTTTAATGGTTATGGCCGGAAGGGCATCAGCAAAACATGGACAAGCTGGCGCTGTTATCAGGCACTGTACAGCCGTTTCCAGCGGCCCCCAGCGCTGGATAGTGCTGGAAAGCGGCATCCCGTGCACCCTGATGCAACCTCAAGTATGCTAACTCCGTACCAAGAGCTGAGATTTGAGGTCTAATTCCTAAAGACAGACTATGAATTTTGTCTTCGCTTACTGTGTTATCCAAGTCTACATTTCCCTTTTCTCAATACATAAATAATTTCCGGGGGGCCTCCGGGAAGTTTGGAAACGATCACCGTCAACCCTGAGCCGATGATCGGTAAAGTCAAATTTTAGGGCAACTAACTCTCGATTGCGATAATAAACCATCTATATAGCTGGCCCTGGGACCATCACTGATCCCTCAGCCACATGGGCAAGAGCCTGCTTGACCTCTTGCAGGATTGAACTGGTGACCAGGCAGACCTGATATTCTGTAAAGTCACATGACTCTGGAAAGACAACCATGCGCTCCAACTGGACCAAAAGGCCACAATATCAGGTCTGACCTGATATGCTTCCCAGACTATATAAATGGTTCACTTCTTGACAGGCCAGCCGTGCGGTGGACTGAAACTTGTGTTGCAAGAACGTCTGAAGGCTTATAGTTTGGATACGGAGTCATGGAATCTGTAAGTTGCCTTCCAATGCATGAGCAGAGATCTGACCATCGCTTTTAGGACAAAACCTGGTGCATGACGATCTCACAAAGGTAGTCGAAGTCTTGAAAACCATTCCAACAGCAGTACCGCCACTGGAAAGAAGCCAAAGAAGAAAAGCGCGTACGCTAAACGCTGGGATGAACTTTTTGGTGCCGCTGAAACACTGAGCTCTGTTCAACGATCAAAGGACATGCGTACGCCTCAAGAAAAGCAAGATGTATTGGATTGGGTATGTTTTCAATACCCTCTTCACCCTTTCCTATCGTACTGAATAACACCTGTACTCTATCAGGCTGCAGAGATTGTGCAGGAGTTTACCAACTTCCAGACCCCCTGGGAGATTGAGAACATCGAACCACTTTTCCCCACTCCGGTATGTGAACTGAATCATAAGCATAAGCCCATCACTCCCCAATTGCTTTTTTTCTATGCTTTTGTTGCATCTATAAATTTTTTTTCTCTTTGCTAATCCCATTAATATCAGGCTGCTCGTGACAAGAAAATTGAAGAAAAACTTGACACGATTCTTGCTTTCTGCGCAACTGGGGGATCTACTCCCTCTCGTTCATTGCCTGCTCTACTCAGCAAGGTCGGTAACTCCACTGCAGTATCAGGAGCAGTGCTTCACCCTCAAACGTTGGCCTCATTGGCAGTCAGTCCGGTTGTGCCATCAACTCATTCCAACCCAGTAATCAACAACTGGCTCTCGGCGCCGCCTGCTCACATGGAGTTGCCATTGACTTCAACGCTGGAATCACCTTCGCTGTTCGGAGATCTGGATAGTGTACCACTGACATCGACTCATGCTCATCTGCCGCTGCATTCAACCCTGATGTCCACACCGGGTTCTCTGCCACTATCGGCACCTGTTTACAAAGGTCTCATGTCTTCTCCACTAGTGCCAACTACAGCAGTTATCGCCTCTGGCACATTGAAAGTGATCACGCTCGCAAACGGCACCCGCATTGAGTTTTTCCCCTCCGATGTGCCCGACCCTGTCCTCGTCTCCTTTGCAGATGACATTTCAAAGCTTGTACGCATGTGGGATGACGCGGATCCTGCATTCAACGCTGACAAATGTTACCTCAAGATCAAAGGCCATGGAATCCCAATTCGTCTCTGGGAGGCAGCATACAAATATGGAGGTGATCAACGCTGGAAGGGTACCAAGGCTAAGTGGAGCAAATGGAAGGTATGTTTTATTGTGCAGTTGTCTCTTAAGCTTAGTAAATCTGAACTTTGACTATAATCTAGTTTGTTGTTGAGGTGTACAAGTCTCTCGGGGAAAGCAGTTTCTGGGCCAAGTATTATGATCCTAAAACCAACAGCTGTTTGAGCTTCACCGCTATTAGGCCTAAAATTGGCCTAAGGCGTGTAACTGTACATTTTGACACTTTGTACGTGTTATACAATGCAATAAGAGAGTTATACGGAGCCCGAGCGTGATAGCTGTTGCCGAGGCAAAGAACTTAACAGTGAGCTGTGAAGGTACGCCCACAAGCGTAGCCTAG